ACAAACTATTAGCTATTTTAAACATATATTAGCAAAAAGAAAAGGGGGAGAGAACAAATGAAGCTTTGCAGGTACTACTAAGGTACACTTTCTAAACTACCATGTTTCCTAGATTGGTAATATTAAGACTTCAAAACTTAGGAACAACACAGGAAAACTCCATGGCTTGGAGAATTCTCCTGTGCCCCCCCCAAGAAGTTGACAAGAGTTTCATTTTTAAAAAAGATGTCCTCATACCCAGCAGGGACAGTGAGAGACAAATTCCCAAAGCAATTTTCAAACTAAAGGGCTTACAGAGATATGACAATGTGCATCTGAAAAATAATTTCTCTTAAAATATAAAAATTACTTACTAATTAATATTGATAAAGCTATGTGTAAAAATAATATATTCTAGAGTAAGACCCTTCACAATTTTCAACCATCTTTCAAATCACTTTGGGAAGCTAAGTTGCTGGTAATTTCCAGTTAGAATTATAAAAAACATTTCTTAAATCTTTAAAGAACATCACGAGGCTTCTCTGTCACTTAAGCACTGTGAGAAAACAGGAAAATTATGAAAACATACTGGGAAACAGACACAAGGGTTCAGCCTCTTGTGGCTTCCTTGGATGAGGCCAAAACCTTTGGACGGGAACAACTTGGATTCCACTGAGCATGTATCATGGAAAGATATGCAACACCACCGTTTTACTCATCTAGCTATTCTTAAGAATTAAATGTCACAGTGCTACCCACGCAAGCTGACCAAAACTCTGAATATGCCACACTGGTTTGTGACTGCAGAAACCCATCAGGCCCCAGCAGTCTGTGAGAGCTTGTAAGGATCTGGGTTCATCCCACATTTCCAAGTCATGGGCACAATTACTACTGGGGACCCTATCTGGGAACCTCTGAAGTCACCCCACAGATTACATCTGAACAACTCATTCATGAATATTCATGATTAGTGAATATTTAACAACTGTAATCAGAAAACTTCAGAAGGAGGACCCTTCCAGCCTATAACAGCAATTAACTGCACATTTGCTGAGCCCCTACCACACTTCAGAAGATGAGTAGAGTGGCTGTTGAGGGCAGAGCTGGGCAGCTGGGCTCTCCTTGCATGACCCTGGACATGCTCATCTGGTTCTTCAAGCTTTATTCCATCATCTATTAAATGGGCATAATGGCGCATACTTCACAGGTTTCTTTGGGCTAGATCAGTACACCATGAACACCCAGTGAATGCCATTTCCTGCTCCCAGCCCCCTCCCTCACACTGTCACTCCCCTCACTGTACCCTTGAGCTTCCCTTTACAACACTTTCTAGTTTCTAATTATAGTTACTTTCCAGTTTGATGAGCCGACTAACATTTCTCTCCCTCACTGGCCAAAACATTCACGGAGAGAGAGACTGTCTGACCTCATGTACCCAACATCTAAAACAGTAACATATGACAGGTGCTCAATAAGTAGTTGCTGGATAAGCAACATTGACAAATGCACAAAACTCAGACATGGAAGTCACAGTACCAGCCCTCACCAAGGAGTTCACAGGTCAGTGCAGCAGTTTTTCATTGTAGCTACAAAGTCAGACTCACTATCATTGACACTTTAATACCTGCAACAACTTTAGAGTCTGGGCCTAAGGGACATCTGTCCCTATTTTTGTTTTTTAAGAGTACCTCAGAGGATTCTAATGAACATCCAGGGGGCGGAATCACTGGTCTGATTCAACAGAGTTGGTCAGCAAACACAACACACTGGGACATGTGTTCTCCTACAGAAGGCCTGAATGGAAGGACCTCCTCGATGAAGGAGATATACTACACCTACACCAACCAATATGTCAGCCATTAGTCATGTGTGGCCCTTGAGTCTTTGACACATGGCTACTGCAACATCAAGGAACAGCCTTTAAATCTTACTTGACTATTAATTAATTTGAATTTAAAAAGCCGTGTGCAACTAGAGGGTGCTCTAATGGATAATGCAGACCCAGGGGGCAATCATTTGGAAGGCCGAGGGATCCAAACTCATCAGTGGCCCCATCCACAAAGAAAGTGCAGTGTAGTAGAGGAGATGACACCCAACTCTGCAGAGACCCTTGAATTCTGCCCTTCACAGAGGGGTCAGACATCATCTCAGGGTAGCTGTGACCAAAGGAAACCCTTTCAACAACAAAATGAAGCATGTCCTCAAGTATAAAAGCCTTTGGGTGAGCTGTTGCATGACAAGGTCATTGTGGCAAAGGAAGCACATTTGGAAAAGGGTAGAGATGGCAGCACCTCCTAGCTTGTTGCAAAGGTCTCCCTTCTGTGGCTCACAAGCTTGGAGCCTCCAGCATGAGCCATAACGATGTGGAGAACTGACGGTTGTTCCTCAAGCAGAAAACGGCTCATTAAGCTCTTTATAAAATCACACTGCTCCAATGTTATCTGTAGGTTCATGAAATAAAACAGAGATGGCGCTCATGCTGTGTGTTGTGGTTGGGATCTTAAATGTCCCTCAGAGGGCAGTGTGTGGAAGGCTTGGTGCCCCGCTCCTGGTACTCCTGAAGAGGAAGGGTCCTTCAGGAAGTGGGGTCTAGTTGGAGGAAGGGCCACACAGGTACGTGGGGATCCTGGCACCTTTCTCTCTCTCTGTATCCTGGCCACTGTGGAGTGAACAGCTTTGTTCCTCCACATTCCCTCCACCCTGTTATTGTGCCTTGCCATAGGCCCAAAGCAACAGCGCCAAACAATCACACACTGAAACTTCTGAAACTGTGAGCCAAAATAAATCTTTCCTCCTTTAAGCTGATTTTCTCAGGTATTTTATTATAGTGGTAAAAAGCTGACTAATGACTGGATCTGCCATGCTTCCTACCTACAATTTATTAAGCATCCACCACGTGGTAGGTAGTATATTAGGGGCCCTAAGAGTTCTCATTTTGTCTATACAATACACTGCAAATTAGATAATATCTTCTTATTTTATGGGAGGAAATTCAAGACTCATATAAATTCAAGAAGTTAAACAATTAACTTTAACAAGTAGGGCAAAGCTAGGACTTAAACTTGGACCTTGAGTTTCTTTTTAAAAAGGGTGTACTGTGTTCTACACATATACACACTCTGTTTCAAATACCATTTATTTTATGTTTCTTCAAATCCCAACAAAGGCTCCAATGAATCTCCTTGTATATATTTCAAATATATATATTTTTGGTACATAAGATGCATAACTCAGAAAGTACATAAATACTAAGAGTAGCATTTGATGAATTATCACAAAGTCAACTTTACCATTAACCACCAATCAATTCAAGAAAAACAAGAGTACCAGCCCCTCAAAAGACCCCTGTGACACCTTCTAGTTACTTACCCCACATACTATCCCTAAAGAGCTGAGATTGATCCAGGGCCTACCACACTGTGCAAATTCATTAAGATGAAGCAAAGGACAGAAGTCATGAATTAGGCAGGTAATTTAGACCAAAACTTAAAACAAGATTTGGCCACAACACAGCAAGACCACCATTATTTATCTACCTTAATTAGACATTAATATTTTATTGATGTTGGGCACTGTGGCGCATGCCTGTAATCCCATTGGCTTGAGAGACTGAAGCAGGAGGATCACGAGTTCAAAGCCAGCCTCAGCAACTCAGCAAGACCTAAAGCAAATTAGTGAGACCCTATCTCTAATAAAATACCAAAAGGGGTTGGGAATGTGGCTCAGTGGTTAAGTGCCCTGGGTTCAATTCCCGATATCAAAAAAAAAAAAAAAAAAAAAAAAAACACACCCCCCCCAAAAAAAAAAGAAAAAAGAAAAAAGAAAAATCGCTATTTTATTGAATATAAAGATTTAGGGAGTAGTATCAAAGAACTGGGGTGCAAAAGGTGTTAACGATTACTCTTAGAGACTGTCTTGAGGTCTGGGGGACTGAAAGAAGATAAGAAACTATTAGGTTTCCATTTACATAGGCCAGTGATTCCCAGCTCCAATAAAGGGGCTCCTTTCAGCTCTGTAAGTGTACAATGATAAAATTAAGAGGAAACATCATTTACTATACTCCCATAACATTAGGCCCTTAGTGAGCTCGAGATGTGGCTCGGTGGTAAAGTGCTTGCCTGGCATGCAAGGTTCAATACCCAACACCACAAAAACAAACAAGAACATTAGGCTCCTTACGGATATTAGTGCATTTAAGTATCTGCAACAACTCAGTACTACCCCATTCCCATCTTACAGATGAGAAAAAAAGGAGGTTCAGGAAAGTGAACATTTATAACCATCTCCAGGTCACTTTGTTAATAAGAAGGCTCGAAGGAAACCCGCATCTGTGCCTCTATGAAGCCTATGCTCTTTGTGTTACAGTCTCTGTCACCCTGGAGGGGTTTTCTGAGGAGGTATACCAGCCAACTGATTTCTCAGAAGAGTGGCCTCCAGGCAGGTTAGTTGGTACTGCAATAATGATACCAAGATGTGTGTCAGAGCTGGAATGTATTTTATGTTTCCAAGCCTCTCCTTCCTACAGTACTGTAGCCTACTGTTTCCTATTGGCCTTACTTTGGTGTGTTTCTTCTTATTCACTAACCCTTTTGTTTCTAAGTTGACAAAGTCACTAGATCAAAGCTAAAACATTTAGTTTCATGGGTTATTTGGCATCCACTGACCAACAATAAGATTGCTGGCATATCTATAAAAATTTGAACTCACACCTGCTCTGATATTCACATCCTCCCCTGGTCAATGCTGATTTCAAATGTGCACAGATGCTATGAAGAAGGAAAAGATTCCCACATGTTTAACTGAGGCCACCATCACAGACTGATCCAACCACACATTTTAAATCTCTCCCATATCCTTTGTGACAGAAAACCACTATCACTCTTAAGTTCTTAAATGCATAAAAAAATCCATGGCAACTAACCTTTTTTTTTCCTAATAAGAAGGAATTTTTTTTTCTTCCTAATGCTGGGAAAACAGTATAATAAGAAACTCTGTGAACAATACTTATGATTCGTGCTTACCTTGACCAGAATTATATATTGCTTTCACAGATTTCTTCACTTTCTGCAAGGCTGTTCTATCTTGGTCTAGAGCCTAAAAAAGAAAAATATGAAAAAAAAAAGGTGTTAGAAATTTGGTACATAAAAGAAAAAAAAATTCATTCAAAACTATGAGCACCAAAGCAGCAACAAACTGATATGACCCAATTCCTTCTCTTTTGAGTTTCTACCTGGAGAGGGAGGAAGGTGAGCACAAGATGATTGCACAGTACCCAGGAACAGAACACATCTTAGTAATGGAAATTCCAGCCAGAAAAAAAAAAAAAAACCAAAACATTTGGAAGAGTGTAATAAGTAGGAATGACCTTCTCGTAAGTGCTTTTAAATCTGAGGATTTTAGTGTTAAAAAAATTAAGTATGACATATGGCAGTTATATTTTAAAAATCTGTCTACTAAGAAAACACAGTATGGAAATGCCACCATGATGCTAGTGATGCTCTTAAAGGATTCAAGGATGATGTAACAACACATGTGCCACAGTCTACTTGTATTCTAAGTGGGATGTCGCAGGTTAACTCCGGTGCTGGCTATATGATTATGGATGGTTGGTTAAAATTTAGCAAACTATACACTTAGGATATGAACTCTTTTCTATAATACTAACTTCAGGTCCTTTCTGCTTTCCCAGGGTCTGTGGTTCACAGGCTGGGAACCCCTAGACGGGGTGTCAAGTTTTGGAAGGCAGAAGCAAAGAGCAGAACAATAAGCTCAAGTAGACGCACAGTTTAAAACATTACGTGCACACGGACATCCATCATAGTACTTATGCCTCAGAACTTCAGATGACAGAATGGAAGCCCACAGAGGGGTAAGCCTTCCCTGAGGGTCATGGAGAGTTGAAAGGGACAATGCAATGGCAGCAGGCACCTGTTGTTCCCTTTCTTCTTTCCTGCCTTTCTAAACATAGTTCAATCGTGGTTCATGAGCCATTTCCTTTCAGCTCTCCAGACACCAGTAACCGGTCAGGTGGGAACCTGACCCCTGCTGGGCTCTAAGTCCTTCTCAGGATTTCTGGGCTTGAGAACAAGGATCCAATGCCCAGTCTCTTTTTGGTAAGGTTAGCCTGGGACCACCAGTGGTTGTGTTTCTAGATGTGTAAAGAATCTGGCCAGATGCAACGTTAACAGTAACAAAGCAACAGAGATGAGGTAGAGAAAGTCCTGGCTGCATCTGAGTTGCAGCTAACCTTACGGCAGTTTGAGTATATGAGATAAATTCTTTTTGTTATAGTCAGTTGAGGTTGGGATCCTGTCACTTGCAACCACAAGTCCTAAATAATGCAAGAAGAAAAATTTACTGAGCACTGACTGCAGGTCAGGCAGAATACTTGTTACATAACATACATATGCTTTCAATTATCTTCTTGCAATGAATCTTTAAAAAACAACTCTGTGAAGTATCAGCTCCATTTTTGGATAAAAAACTGTGATGGGCCTTTATTAAATATTTGTAGGAATGGAGGGAGGGAAATTTAACTCATTTGCCCAAGGTCAGAGCCAGAAACTGTCGTAGTCACATTTCACTTTAATGTCTCTCAAATCCAAAGGTGCTTGCTTTCCCTACTGGAATGCTCGTCCATGATAATGCCATCATGCCTGTCACGTTATATCTCTGCAATTTTTTTTTTTTTTTTTTTTGCCACAGTCATGGCCCACTAGTCCTTCTATTTAATTAATATTTTTCTTTAAATCTAAGTAAACCTTTTTATTTAAACTTAAATAACTGCATCATAAACAGCTACAATTAACGGGAAACCAGGATCACTTTCATTAATAGAAGACACCCTGGAGACTGGCAGGCCCTACACAAAACGTTCATCTGCTTGGTATCTCAAGTCATCTGACATGAGCAAACTGCATACCACATGTAAGGAGTCAGTTTCAGGGAAAAGAGACTTTGAGTTAAAGATTTAAGATTTGTACTTTAGAGAAAGGGGAAGGCTAACTAATATTTAATTAATACTTAGTGTGAAGCAGAAATCATATTGAGAGATTCACATAGATTATCTCAATTCTGTGTTAAATCCTAGGAAATAAGTACTATTGTTATATCCATTTAACAGATGAGAAAAAAGAGACATGGAAAGGTTAACTTGTCCTGGGTGGCAGAGCTAGAATCTGAACCAAGGACTTAACAACAGAGCCTGGTCTGATCACATGGGAGGGGGTATTCACCAGTTCTTAGAACAGAATTCCGAGTTAAGAAATAAGACATTTAGGTTTCTAAGAAAGCACAAAGAAAAGAATGCAGATAAGCACTCCTTTACAAGATTGAATCCAACAGGTTTGTCCTTGGTGGCTATTTTTTGTGGCAAAAATGTTAATAAAAATTGCCATCATTTTTTCTAATAAACACATTACCACCATCTTCTTTCCTGAAGAAACCCCTGGTTTTTAGAGAGGTGAAAGAGCTTGCTCAGTGCCCCATGACAGAAACAGCCTGTGCCTTCTCAGCACGACAGCTCGGCGCACTGGAGAAGCACTTCCCCATTTCCCCTGCACCTTGCTCGCTTCTCAAGAAAGGAGAAAAGATCTGCTCCTGGATGAAAACCACCTGTCAGTTCGGCCCTGGGAGTAATGACCATATTACGACGGGCCTACTCAAAGAGAAATGAGTGTGTGGGCTCTGAGGCCTGGGCCTTTTCAGAGTTAACCACCCTCCAGGAGCAAAAGTATGCGGAAGATTCCAGCAGTAACGTTTTATGAGACCCTACATCTACTTTCCCTTTTTGGAGACCTGGGGTGGGGTGGGAGGGAGACTGTCTCAGAATTTAAGTTGAATAAGACTTATGTTTTCCCAACTCATCCATGAGCTGACAGGATGTAACGTTCACATACTGATTTTTAGAGGTAATTGACAGCATTTCCTCTTGACAGCTGCAGTCAAGTTAAGTCTGGGTGACACTTCTTTTTTTGAGCTCTAGTGTTTGGCCACTGGGCAAAAAGAAGCCAAGTACAATGCACTTTTAAGAGCCTTTTTTTTTTTTTTTTTTAAGAGAGCTGGAGGATGCTGTCCTTGCTTCAAACAAGGTTCCCTCCAGCAATAACATGTCTAAATGTGCTGGAAAGTTCTACTCCCGCAGATGCTGAACTGTAATGACATCCTATGAAATGTCATATACATAAAATTAGACAAGGGCTTAGAGAAAATTGCAGATAATATTGGCTTATAAATTCTCTCTTCCAAACCATTAAAAGTATGATAAAATATGTGCCTGCAATTCTAAGGGTGTTTCTGAAGTTTACCATCTCAAAAGGGTAGGGGTTAGGAAGAGGATGAAATAATAACTAAAAGCATACAGGAGACTATGCTCATCTTAAGTAACAGAAAATAGCATTTGATCTGTTAAAATTGGGCAGTACTGCACTTCACATTCTCTACATAACCACAGAGGAGGATGCTCATCTAGGAGAGCCTTTCTGACCTTGGCATGGAGGCCATCTACTTTTATTTCACACACAGCCTTAAGTTTCGGTACATGAATTCTAGACACAGAGAAGACAATGTGGAGAAAACAGCGCGTGAGAACAGGTAGCCAGAGGGAGTCAGAAACAGCATGCAAACTGGACACCAGAAAGAAAAATTCCTTGAGTCTGAGGTCACTTAAGGCAGGACTTAGGACCTTTTCTACCTCTCCAGGCCAAGTGGTATCTCTTGGTTACAGTTCAGTGCAACAACAGCTGTTCTCAGTTACTACACAGACCCAGCCTCCCCAGCTCCTGGCTTGGCAACTGCCCAGGCTCATTCCTCTGCCTGGAACACCTTCCTCAGGCTCTTCAGTGACTGGTTCCTTCCTATTACACAGGCCTCAGATTAAAAGCCCCTCCAGAGAGCCTTCTGTGGATACTAAAGCCATGAACCCTTGGGCCACCCAAGGGCTCCTTTCAAATACACTTCATGCTGTTTTCCAGAGTACTACCATACCCTGAAATTATCCTGTTCACGACTGGTGTATTTTTATGGTATTTAACAATCTCCACTAGAAGACTGAAAGTTCTATGCAGGCAGGGACCTGTGTAAACTCAAAGCAAAAATGACTTTATACATGAACAAATGAACTCAGTAGCACAGTTCCACAAAATGTGAGGTTCTGCAATATTAAGAATTGCCTTAAAAATGGCTGAACAGAATGAAGCTTTGAGTTCAGAAAACATGGGCCTCTGTAATTCTTCTCGGAAGTTTATGTACACATTATATGTCTATGTCAAACGTGCATGAGATATGACCACAAGTGCTAAGAGTAATGGTGTAACAAGACAGACAGACCTTACTTAAAATAGTTATTCTGGCAATGTCTTTAAAAACATTTTACTGAAATATAATACACTTACATTGAATGAGCAATGGTAATACTACTGCCATTATTCATAGGTTTTTATTTTAGATTTATTTTCAATTATACTCAATAGGAAAAGTTGCTCTTATTTTGGGTAGATTTGGTTTCAAAAATAAACACAAGTCTTTAGAGCTCAATCTTATGAATATATTCACAGAGCCAGAAAACAGTGCATGACAGTAAGACAATAGCACAGAATTTCCTAGAGATTTGTGGAGGTAGACAGAAATCACAGCTGCCTTCCAGGGACACTCTAAGCATTTACATGTGCCTATAGAAGTGGCTAGCATAAGCCTCGTACGGGCAGGTGCTGCAAAACATCTCTGAAAGAAGTACTCCTATACCAAAGTGAAGTCTTTAATGAAAGGAATTTTCACTCATTTTTATTGCTTTTAGCTGTATTCAGAGAGGTCATTTCAAAAATACTTCTTTTCCCTGGTGGTACTGGAATTGCACTCAGGGTCTTGCACATGCTAAGTCTACTTTCTACTGCTAGGCTACAACTTCAAATACCAAATTCATTTTAAAAGATATATTTGACCTATATTCAACACAAAACAAATGTTTTCCTTATATTATTCTTTTAGTAGGGAAGATCACCACCCTGGCCTAGTTTGGGTTCAGACTTTCATTACTTCAACCTTCTACTTGTTGGGCGCTCATGCTACCCCATGAGGAGAAGGCAGGCCTGAGGAGC